TCACCTTTAAATTAAGTATACTCAAATGGGGGAAGTCTGGATAGTTTATCACATTTTAAAGTAAATCCACAACTCCTTAAAATAAACTTTTTTAAAGCTATTTTTATCTTCTAATATGCTATTAAATCTTTTAACGTTACTTGCATGATTATTGCACACTAAGCTTGCATACCAAAAGCACTGTTAAAAAAATAGCTAAAGTTTCAATGTTTCCATTTTTCAATAAAATTACGATAAATTTTTATAACAGAGGCAGATTTTATTATGAACGGAATGTTCTTTTTATTTAATGAATACTCCTAAAAAATTTCTATCGTATACCATTTTGAAAAGGTTAGACCTGTTTCACCAGAGTATTCTGTATATTTCTGTATTTACATTTCTTCAAGTATTAGGCAGATATTTCAAGTATTAGGCAGGTATTTCAAGTGTTAGGCAGACATTTGGGCCACTCTTAAGTAATAATTTTGCATATTGTATTTCGCCAATATTACAAATATGTATTTTTAACAAAGAAAGCAATTGAAAATCTTTTAAAACAATTTTTAATGGTGATAAAATGCATGCTTTATTTCTTCATTTTATTTAAGTTCTTCAAAAATCAAAACAAAAGCTAAAAAAGAGAACTCAATATGTGGTATTAAATATCTCAATGACTTCTGGTATTAAACAATAATTTGTAAAATACAACATGATATTTAAGTTTTAACATTTGGTACCTACATACCATACCAGTAACGTATTTAAAATTGTGTTCTCAATATTTTTTTATTATTTACAATATTTACCACACACAAGAATTTTATAAACACATAATTATTTGCAATAGTTACTTGTCAATGACACTTGGATGTAGAGTGGGTATTGTTTATAATCTTTTAATAAGCAGGATCTTTTAGCATGGTATCGTTTTTTAATTAGGCAGGATCTTTTAGCCAGTTCTCATTGTTTTATTAGGCAGGATTTTTTAGCCTGCTGTATTTCTTTTAAAGTATTTTTTGTTTGAAAATGTTTTGCACATACAACAGATGAGTTATTTAGCATATAGTTTAGCATATTTACAAATAATCTAATTTTTTTTGTGGTTCGTAAATATTTATTGACATTGACAAAACTTTTTATAGATTTTTATAGTTTGTAATTCTTCATTGACATTAAATGAAAATAATGTCAATTTTTGTTTTAATTGTTGCTTTAAATCTTTTAATAAGCCAACGAGACAACATTTAATATTCTTTGTTCTACTAACAGTATTTTTTGTTTATATGGTGCAACTATTTTACACTCATTCAAAACCCCAAAAAAACTGGCCTTCTATTTTTCCGGCAAAAATGCAGAATATTAGGTCGTATACTTTAAGTAGGCCATGGAGTACCAAACACATTGTATTGCATTACTTGCAATGTGACTCACTACAAAAAGTTACCATATTCAACAACGGTTGACTGTGGAACAAGTCTGTTTTCATGTTGAAGAATGGCTCACCACAGGAACTGTTTATGAATAATGGTGCCGTTTTTAGATCTAGTGAGTTATAAAAATATATATTAGAAAGTGCATCATGTTTATCTGCAATAATTATAAAGTTGTTACAAATACTAGGTTGTCTTTAAAAGCTTGTTTATCAAAACCGCAAAGAGCTTTTGTTTTCAAATTTTCAGTAAAAAATTTTTTAACAAGAAAAAAGAAAAAATTATGTTGTTGACAATGTTTTATGAACACTTTTAACTTAAATTGATGTAAAAAGTTGTTTCCTTTTTAAGCACCAACTATATTTTGTATGAAATTTTATGTTAAAAAGCAAAAAATGCAAGAGTAATTGAGAATACAATTATTCTTGCATTTTTTTACCTGAGTACTCGACGCTTTAGTTTTCATCTACTCAAGTTACCAGGGTAATTATTGTAAAAAAATAAAGCAATAAAAGTATAAAGTAATAAATATCTTTTTTTATATTATAAATAGTTTAAATAAGTTCAGATTTCAGACTACGGACATTTTGCTTTAATATGTAATTATTGTAGTGTATAATTTATCATTTTTTTTTTAAATAATATTTTAAAAGCACTAAACCACTGAGAGTTCTGGAAGCTAGAATGTATTTTTGTATAACAATTTCCGGCAATGAAAAAGACCTTTTTATATTCCGCTATTAGGTTACAAGCTAATTTCTCTTTTCTAATTTCGTTTTGATAATTTTTAGGTTATTTTTGAGTTGCAATGGCTCTAGCGTTTTTTTCGGTGGTGCTAAAAATTTTAACAACGAGTTATGAAAAGTTTCTTCATTTAAAGATGCACCTCTCTTCTAAGCTATTACTTCAGCTTTAACGGCATTTTTAATTACGATTCACAAAATATATTTGTAGTATATAAACAATAGTGTGGAGTGAAAACTAATTTTTTCATAAATACAACTTTTCTCCCTGATTTTTATATTAGCTTTAGGAAAACTAAAAAAACGAGACCAAAATGAGCAAAATTGAACAAGAATTACCTCCTGCAGCAATTTTTGACTACTTAGTATTGGTAGCGCAAATTTTAGATTAATTTTTTTTTTTTTTGAAATACAAGTTACAAAGTGGAAACATATTAGGTATGTTTGAATTATTTATTTGTATTTCAACCGAAACAATCAACTTTATTTTAAAAAAGTTATTGAAACATTTAAAAATACAATTAAAAGAAAGACATTTCGATTGAATAAATTGAATATTAGGCATAATGTTTAATAAAAATTATGATTTAAAGAAAATAAAAAAAAATTTTTTAGTTCATTTAGAAAAAAGTAGCTAATATAAGCTGAAATATCTACTTGAAATGCAAAGATTTAAAAAAATGCCAGTGTGCTAAAGTTAATATGGTACTAGCTACGGAGCACACTTTTCTGGGAGATCAAAGAATTGAACATAAAATGGGTATTTGGTAATTGACAATGAAGTTACAGCAAAGCAGCAGAATACCTAAAGCAAACAGAGCTCAAACCTTAATAATGCAGTGTCACTAGATTCTATTGTTTCTGCCACACCCAGTAGTTTAAAACGGCCTGCTATAGATGAAAACTCTCCATCATGATTATCATCTTCAAAGCAAATGCTTTTGTATCTCTCTTCTCTTTTATTGGTCTGCCACCGTCATGGACTCTCAGACAGATCTGCTGTAGCTTTAGCATCAGCTTTTCTTGAAGATATTGGCATCACTTAAAACGATGACAAAAAATATGTTATTGAGCGGTGTAAGACAAAACGTTAGCGCATGAAAGCCAGGGATAACTTGAGAGTTAGTGAAATCAAAGTGAAGGCGTTGTATTTTGATTGCTAAAAAGACCAAAACTTAATTTTTTTAATAAGAAGAAATCCATAGTAATGGAAGAGCATATATCCTTGATTCAGGAACTTGAAGTGATTTTTTTTGGAAAACAGCACATCTCAAAGCGGCACAGCTGAAGCTATAAAATCTCAAATTCTAAAGTATTTTAAAAAACACGATATCATTTTGGATGATTTACAAGTGTTTAGTTGTGATGAAACAAATATAAATACTGAAAACAAGGTTAGTGTAATTAGGTTGATTGAGTTATAACTCCAACGGCCTCTACAATGGGTTATTTGTTTGTTACATGCAACGTCATTCATATTCAGAATTGGATGGACCAACATGTGGTCTAAAATAATACTCAGGTTGTATTGGAAAGTCCCTTGAGACTTGTGAGATCTTAATGTTTTTTGATTTTTAACCTTTAAACCATAATGTAGAAATTTCCAGAGATGGAAAGAAAAGTGCCAAGCCTTACCTTTTTGACATCTGTCAAGCTGTACTAGTTGTTCTATCTGTAAAGCTGTAACTACACTTTTTCTGTCAATCTTGAAATACCCAGCCCTGGAAAACTGGTTTATTTTAGAAAGCTTACCATTGCCAACAGAATCCTCAGATTATATTTTTCTATCACCCGTTCTTTTTCAAATCTGCCAGATGCATTACGTAAGGTAGTAGTCTTAGTCTCAATTTTATAGTTTGGTTGTAGCTAATATATAAATTGGAATCAAAAAATAAACTTTAAAAATAAGTTATTTTCACTCCACTCTACTACTTAATATATTTTCAGTTTGTAATATCTACTTAAAAAAAAAATTAAATATAAAATTTGCCAACCAATAATATGGAGCGTTAGTCAAAAATTGCTGCAGGAGGTAATTCTTGTTCAATTTGGTTCATTTTGTTCTCTTTTTTTTAGTTTTCTTATAGCTGATAAAAAAAATCAGGAGAAAAGTTTTGTTTCTAAAAAATGTTATTTTCACTCCATCCTAATAAACAATATAATATTGACAGATTGACATATGATGTCAGTATGTCTATATCAAGTAAGAAACTAGTTTGTGAATTTGAATTTTTTTTGATTATTACAAGCAATTTTAGAATATGTCAATCGTCAGTAGAATTCACAAGTAATTGTATTCCCTAGTCAAAAATCAAAATGTTTTTGCTAAATCTAGATTGTAGATTGCGTTATTTATTATAATAGAATACAAATATTATTTTTTAACCGAAAAAATATATATACAGAAAAAATTTTATTGTAAGATTTATTGTAATTACTGTTATATTTTTTAAATTTTAGTTTTCATTTTTTATCAAATCTTTTTTTACTTTTCAAATATAATTATAATGTGACTATTTTTCAATATAAGGTTCAAAATCAACAGAACATAAGTAAAAAAAATATTTTTTTTTTAAATAAATAAAACTCTGCATTGCAAATCAAATAACTATTATGCTTGACAAATCTGAGAAATGTGACTTGGAGAAATGTGCCTTGATATAACATGCTTTTTTTAGTTTAATCTTTCCCAGTTAATTAAGTTCTTTCCTTTTTTTTTTTGTTTTCTAAAACTTTGGTAAATGTATTTTTATTAGTAATAAACTTTTTTTTTATGCCCATATTTTTGTGCATAACGAACTTAGAAAGCATTTAAATGAAGAATAATGAAAGAAATATTTTTTAGGTCATATTGATAGTTGTGTTAATGGATTTATTGAAGGGTAAGAATATAATCATTATAAATTTACAGCTTTAAATTTTTTGTTGTTTCAAAAGCAAATTATGCTTTAAGTGACAAAAAATATTGGGCTATTTTAATGCGACATTGTTATGTTGAATAGGGTGTGTCGATTTTTATGATAAAGTGCACTTTTTTTAATTTAGAAAAAAGAGTAGTGAAAATTTAAAAAAATCATATTTTTTTAAAAGGATTGATATTTTTAAAAATTAAATAATTTTAGTGCTAGCTTAGTAACTTTTCATTTTATTTTTATTTATTTTGGTTTTGCTAAAATAAGTACCAAAAATGCGTAACTATTCATTTCTTTTCATTTTACTTCATATTCGGACCAAAAGGAAAGCTCCGGTAAACATATATAGTTTATTAGGGATGTCGAATAGAACAAGGATTGCATTATTTATTAAAATGAGCAATCTTGTAGGGAATTGAAAAGAACTTTATGTATCTGAGCTTCCAACAGCCAGAGATATTTAACGATATGGTATACTTTTAAGAGAAATCAGTGAAAAAAATTCGAGGAAGTATACTGTAGATCAGCTAATAACTGATATGGTACCCACTGTTCTTGGTCAATGGTTAAAGGCAAATGCCCTTTTTGTATATCCAGTTGTAATCCATGAAAAAACAATTTTTAAAAAACTCAAGTATTTATGGAAATCTGCTGTCGATTTTAGTAATGGACGTGGAAAAAAAGCTGAAAAAGAAAGATTTTCTCTAAAACTAGACAAGCTTGTGGACATTTTACTGTGTAAATGTAAATTAATTCTTTGTTCAGAGTACAAATGTGGTTCAGGATGTATGGAAAAAATTCATATAAAATGCAAATGTAAGAGAGAAGAGAAAATACCAATTGTAGAGCTTTAATTTTTTTATTCTCAGAGAACTAAAATAGAAAGCTTTGGAACTTTTCATATTGGTAGTGCAAATAGAAAAGAATCCAAAAAAATTTTAAAAAAACAACAACAAAAAATAGCAATGATAAAGAAAAAAAAGGTAGCTATTTAATAATACTTACTTGTACGACAATATAATATATACAAACATTAATCATTTAAAAAAGAAAAATTTATTATAATATATAACTTTTTTTTTTAAGGCAGATAAAACAAATGATAAACTTGAACAATTTGATTGTCTGAACGAAAATGAATATGTATCTCCTTTTCAGACACATATGGGGGAAGTAAGTTTAAAACTATTAGTTGCTATCAAAGTATTTATTTCATTTTCAGTATTTTTCTTCATATTCTGTATTCAAGTGGGTTTTTATTACAATTATAAGATTGAATTAAAATTCTATATTGTATTTTTGTGGACAAATATGAAATTAGGCTGATGTGGAGTTAAATAAGTTATTGATTATTTTGAGAATGACACAAAAATAGTTGCATAAATTTTAGTATAGATTGTGATTAAAAATAAAAATAAAATATTTGTATTTTTTAGGATTATGTACATCACAAAACTGTTATGCAAGAAAAAGTTTACTCAAATAGCTCCTCTATGACATTTCAAGATAATAGTGAGCAGAACATAATCCAAGTAGATACTCAAACTAAATGTAAATCACCCCTTAATCAAACTTTTTCTATGTATAATACTATGAAAATCAAAAATATTGCACTGGCTAGCATAAGACATCAAACAAGTTTAAAAGAAGCAGCTGAAATAGCCACAGCTACCTTGATAGATGCAAAACTTATAAGCGAGAGTGATTTACATTTTATTATAGATCATAACAAAATCAAAAGGGCTCAAGAAAAATTAGCAAAAGAATTAAACAACCAGTTTGAGATAGACCTAGAAAATAACCCGGTTACTTGTTTTTTTTTTTGATGGAAGAGTAGATGCTACAAAAATGTTTATAGAGGCAAATGACAGAAATTTTCCTAGCCTTATTAAAGAGGACCATTACTCTGTTGTAAAAGACCCAGGGGGTGACTATCTTTTCCATTTTGTTCCAGATGTGACAGCTAATAAAAAAAAAGCAGAATTTATTGCAGATTACTTGACTGGTTAAAAACTAAAAATCAAATTCAAAATCTCATGGGTATTGGAGGAGATAGCACAAATGTTAATACTGGTTGGGCAGGTGGTGTCATGCAATGGGTAGAGAAAAAATTAAATAGAAGATTAGTTTGGATTGTTTGTGATTTACACACTGGTGAGTTAGGGTTAAGGCATTTAATTGAAAATTTAGATGGTAAAACACTTTCTTATAATAAATGGTCTGGACCACTTGGGAAAATGCTTGACACAGCAACTGAAATTGAAATTAATTCAAACTTTACTAAAATAAATTTTGGTCCTCCTTTAATAAATCTCAATCAGGAGATTATTAAAGATTTAAGAACTGATTAAAGTTATGCCTATCAAATTTGCCAAGCAATAAAGACTGGAGTTCTACCTAACAGGTTAGCAATGCTGGAAATTGGACCAGTCTGCCACAGTAGATGGCTAACAACAGCCCTTCGATTTTTCAGAATTTGGGTGTCAAATCATGGGCTTACTGGTGAAAATCTAGAAAATTTACAAATGATTGTAAATTTTATTTTTAGTGTTTACATACCCAATTGGTTTAACATTAAAGTGAAACCAAATTAGATAGAGGGTCCTAGACATGTTTTATATCAACTAGAGCTACTTAGAACTCATAGTAAAAATGTTTTAGATATTGTTGTGCCAACAATTAGGCGATCAGCGTGGTATGCACATTCTGAAGCAATTTTACAAGCCATGCTTTGCAGCAAAAATACAGAAGAAAGAAAAGAAGCTATAACTAGGATTCTTAAGATTCGAGGAGAAGGAGATGAGGTAACTCAAGTTGGAGATAGAAGTGTCAGAGTAAGAAAAACACCTGAAATAAATCCTCAATCTGATCAGCTAGCTAACCTCATAACATGGAACTTGAATGTAACTGAGCCACCACTTACCTGCAATCTAACCTCTGCAACAATCAAAGAGTTTTTAAACTACCCTATGGAAGTTCCTCCTTTGACTTCTCATACACAGTCTGTTGAAAGATGTGTCAAATTGGTAACTGAAGCTGCAGGCCATGTTTACACACACAAGAGAATAGAATCTTATATACGTTCTCAGCTTGCAAGTTTTAAAATTAATTACAAATTTATATTCATATTAATTTTACTTCTACAATAAATAAAATGATACTCTATAATAAAAAAAATAGAATATGTTTACTGGCATACTGCAGTAAACATACAATGAATTGTATAACTTTACTATTTAAGATTTTAAATAACAATAAATGGCATTTGTTATTTAAGTATTAGGGTTGGTTTCATTAAAATATGATATAACAACAAACTTGGCATTGAAAGATTTTAAAGTGTCTTTAGGGAAATAACTATTATTAGAGTTTTGATATAACATAATGTTGTTATTGTTATTGTTGTTATTATTACTATTCAAGGTTATAACTTCACAAATAAATTAATTAGGAATATAAAACAAACCTATCAACCTTTTGTTCTATTGCATCAACTTGTTTTGGTCTAATTGTTTGCATGCAAATGTCCATTTGATGTTTTTTAAACGTTGCGGCAGATGTTAAATAAACTATTTCAGATGGTAGACTATTCTACAAATTTGTAAATTGCATACTAGAAAAGTTTTTCCAGACAACTTTCTTGCAAAACATTTTTTTCAATTTATACGTATAATCGCAGGTTGTTAAGTTTAGGTTAGTCGTAATAGAGGAATAACTAAATATATAATCTGTATATTAATATTAAGAAGTGACCATATTGGTACGCGTGTTATTACAACTCAGATTAACTACTTAATGGTCTTTAATTGCTAGTGCTAGTTAAATTTAGTCTCAGTAGTCTTTGATTGTTAATGAGCCTAGTCTGGCCAAAAATAGATTTACTAGACTTGCTTTGAACATTTTCAATATAATTTTGATCTTTTTAAAACCTAGAATATAAAACAAAGTGAATCAAGGTGAGGTACAAAATGTCAAGATATTGAGATTGAAAAATGATTTTTTGATCATTCCAGCAATTTTATCAGCAGTGTTATTCCTTGTACTTACAAAATAAAAGTCAAATTAGTGTTAACGAAGATCCCTTTATTGACGAGAGAGTTTTTAAGATTAATTGAAGTATTGAGAATTGTTACAACGAGTATATAAATAAATTTTGTGTTTGTTAGTTCTAAGGGCATACCTTTACATTTTTTTACACTAAAACTTAGTTTTCATAGTCTTGCCCAGGTTGGTATATTGTCCATATCTTTTTGCAGGGTGTCGCATGGTGAGCTATTAAAAAGTAAATTGTATAATTTAGTATCATCTGTAAATACAGATACAACATCTAAAACCAAATCAGAAAAATCATTAATATATATCATTAAAGTAAATAAGGGAGAACCCCACTAAATACTATTATCCATTCTGAGTATGTACTACTAGCAATGATTCTCTACTGCCGATCTCTCAGGTAACATTCAACCAATTGTAGAGCTTGACATCTATTCTATAAGCTTTTAATTTTAGCAGTAGTAGATAGTTGTGAAATGTGTCAAAAGCTTTCGATATATCTAGACATAAATTTTATATTTTTTAAAGCACTTTTTATTAGATACACAAGAGTTTCCAGTTTCAAATTATTTTTTTAGTGTATGTTTATCTCTCTGTACGTACCTCATTTCATTATACTATGTATCCAATACAAAATGTAACTATATATATATATATATATATATATATATATATATATATATATATATATATATATATATATATATATATATATATATATATATATATATATGTTATATATTTATATATATATATATATTATATATATATATTTAAATAAAAAAATAAAATGCAACACTTAATGAAATAAGTTTATAGTAAAAACTAACTTTGAAGTTAAAATTTAAAAACTTACAAACAAAACGAACATTTTGGGCTTTTTTTTTAAATGTCTTAAAAATCGAAATGGCTTTTTG